AGCTTGGCAGGCTGGATTGCTGCCAAGCCTTATCTGTGTTTATTTCTGCCTGAGTTTGTCGGGGGTGCTGCCAAGGTCCTTATCTGTTTGTTCTGCTTGGCTTTCAGCCACTGAGGTTTTGGTGTCTTGCTATTAATTAAAATACATTCCAGTAAAGCTTGTCTCGGCATTCGTTACTGGATGGAGGAGGGGGTCAGAACAGGTTTAGTGGGAAAAGACCTATTTTTGTACATGGGGATGTACTATAATGGTAACTCTATTACTGAGATAGTATAAACCAGTGATGGCGAACCTTTTCGGCACCGAGTGCCTAAAAGGGAGCACGTGTGCACTCGTCGTAGCCGCAACCTGGAAGGGGAGTTGCCCAGGTGGCATGTGTGTGCTGGAAAATGAACTACCGGTTTTTGGTGCGTGCATGCGCACCAGCCAGCTAGTCTTCTGGTTTCTGGTACATATGCATGTGTGACAATCAGCTGGCCGGCGCAGAAGACCAGCTCTTCCAGTTTCCAGCACTGCCGCATGTCAGGTGATCGTTGTGTGCGCATGGGTGCCAGAAATCTGGAAGAGGAATGAGCAACACCATGCGTGCCAGACAACATGGGTCCATGTGCCATTTCAGGCACACGTGCCATAGGTACGCCATCAAGGGTATAAACCATTTTAACATACTTTCTAGGTAACTCCAGAAAGAATAATCCAAGACTGTAAATGACTAGGAATGATGGAAGCGGTCAAAACAGTTGTAGATTCCAATCTGGTTCTATGGTTATTATCCTTACGGTCCTTTAATGGTAACTTTTTTTGAAAAATCATGTCTGCATATTCCACTAAACGGGCACTATTCAGTGCCCAAATGATAAATACAAATTGCTATGGAAAAGTAGGCAGTGCGACTTTATGGTGTGGTCTTAAAACCCCAGATTTCCACTTGATAAGCGAAGCTTTTAAAATCCCTCCTTGTCTGAAGTAATTTGTTATCTGCAGAGAACTACAAGAAGTTCTAATATGTGCACTCCAAAGTATTGTTAGGAGTGAATTGGAAGTAGTCCATTTGAAGTACCTTTGCGAGTCCCATTTGGTATCCTGGAGAAAGTTGGTCAACAAGAATAACATTGTTTTGAGTATCATTCCAAGGCCTACATTATCGACTAGAGCAGAAAAACACTTTCCTCTCCATATCCGTTTACCTGAAACCCGAAATAGCATTAATTGGTTACATAGGTTTTCTTGGAATAGGTTCTGTTCAAAAGCAACTATAATAAGCCTTTGGAACACTTCCATGGCAACTGAAGCAAGATTTGAATAGTACTCAGTGTCTAAAAATAGTGACATAACTCCTATTTAGTTTGCTTATCCTGTTCTTTTCATAGAACACAGCCGGGTGATTAAGGCTCCTCCTGAGCCCTGTTCATTTTCTTTTAAATTTGAGGGAAATAATAGGAATTAGAAGTAGATGGGGGATAATTGTATGGAGGGGAAATGAGACAGCAAGTGAATGATGGGTGACATTTAAAAGACAAGCCTGATTGTTTCCTCTACCTTTATTTTTGAGTACATTTTTAAAAGATTTGTTGGCAGTGCTAGGAAAGGATGAAGTGTCTTTGTAATGGCTCTCTTGAGCATTTACTTTGGCGCTGCCTTGGTTGAGCAGCGGGCAAAGAAGTGGCAGCTATAAGTATAGAATAGGGGAGCTCACTCTCACATGAATAACATCTTGTTGCCTTCAACTCATCTGCATACAACTTTGTTTGGGAAGTTGTACTGAAAGAATAGATAGGTGGATCAGTGTGAAGCAGTAGAAAAGTTAAGGTTGAACTATTCAAATAACCCGAAGGGACGTGGTGGCTCAGTGTCTAAGACACTGAGCTTATCGATCAGAAAGGTCTGCAGTTTGGCAGTTTGAATCCCTAGCGTCGCGTAATGGAGTGAGTTCCCGTTACTTGTCCCAGCTTCTGCCAACCTAGCTGTTCGAAACCCTGTAAAAATGCAAGTAGAAAAATAGGAACCACCTTTGATGGGAAGCAGTGGTGGGTTTCAAAATTTTTTGGAACCTCTTCTGTAGGTGTGNATCTATCTATCTATCTATCTATCTATCTATCTATCTATCTATCTTATCTATATCTGTACACACACACACACACATACACACATACACGCACACATACATAGATATATATTTATGCAGGAAACTGAATGTAAAATTCAAAAATGTGGTCTTCTGGAGTGAGTTTGATAAAGAGAAACATTTTTTAAAAACTATTCACTAAGATTTTGAGAGTATTTATTAATAATTGCATTTAGACTACTTTCTTTTTAAATTCACCTCAATCACTAGTGTTGCAATTGTTCTGTGAGTGAGCAGGAAAAAAACTTCATTGAGCCATTTTTAGAAATGAAATTGTAATCCACACTTTCTTTTTAATATTTTGCTATTGTGTTCTTCATTCCAGATAGCCAGCTTGGTGTCTGCAGACCAATTTCAGTTGTACAAGCAGTTGAAATTTGAAAGAGGTAAATTTTTTACATTAATATGTAGGGGTTCAGATTGCCTTGTTAAATTCACAAAGTAGCAAAGAAGATGTAGCAAAAGTTACTTGACTAGTTGTACTATCTTATGGAAGTCTATTCAAAAATAATTTATTAATTTTATAATTACAATTGTTTTTACAATTCTTAAATCTGCAGATCAGATTAAGGAAGAAGATTGCCACTTATCTCCTGATCAGAAATCATAAGATTTTTCTGGTGCAATGTGGCTGATGACAGCAGGGTTATGCAAAGAGATGTGTAGACTCTTCATGGGAATCAACAGGAGTTCATGCTACGTGCATGCATACACACACTTACATGTGTGTGGGTTTTTTTTGCCATAGGAAAAGTTTAACCCTTGCTGTTCGTTCTTCATGGTGTTGAATGCTCTTTCCTTGCCCAGTGTCCATGGCAGTTGGGAGGCAATACATTTAAACAAATTACCGTACTAATAATAAGCCAATAAGCCATTTGAAAAATTAAGGCATAAACCCTATGGAATGAACTGCCCCCAGAGATCTAGACCCTACCCACTCTCATGGCCTTCCGAAAGGCTATTAAGACCTGGCTATTCCNTATAAGTCTACTGCTATTGCTATTGCTATCTTGAAAGCCTGTCAAAGCAATTCTCCTGCTTAGGTTATACCCAGCATAATTAAGCCAGAATTACTCTGTGTTTGTTTCTCACGCTTTCCCCTGCCCTTGCTGTGGTGTTTCTTGTGCAAAGTCCTGTTTCCTCTTCCACTTTCCCAGACTCTGTTAGCCATGCCCTCACAGCCTGTGACCTATTATTCAGGCTACTACTGAAAGTAAAGTAACTTCACTGGAAGATTGGTAAAATTCTGTCCAAAATTAGTTCATCTGATAAAAGGAAAGGGGCAGAGGTAAGAGGACAGACCCAGGGTAAAGCGTGAGAAACTTTTTCAATGTACCGGGTTAATTTTCTCCAGTTTTACAATTGTTCTTTGCTCCACCAACCTATCAGATGGACTATTTTTGGAGGTAGAGTGACTGTTTTTTTTAGGAGACCAATAGACCCAAGGGTTAATTACGTCATGAAACACTTTTGCTGTGACATCTTTCTTGCACAGGCAACTTGAAACGTGGCTGTAGTTTCCATCCCGGGCATCTAACTCATTGTTTCTCAACATGATGGCTGGAGAACCCTGGGAGTTGAAGACCACATATCTTAAAGTTGCTTAGCTTGAAAAACACTGACTTAACCATTCTGCTCAGACCTGCCCCAGACTTCAATTGCTGATGGGTTGTTTTTTTTTCTTTTCTTGTCGGCTTGTGATGTTGGAGTGAGAAAGCAATTGAAGTTTGGGAAGTTTGCCCATCATTTCCCTTAAATTGTCGTGCAGTAAAAGTTGAAAACAGAACCATTCACATGCCTTGTTAGCAAGTAAGATTTGTGCTTGTCAGTTGGAGCAGTGAAGATTACATTGGGATTTCCTCCCCACTTTTTGTGTGTTTTTTTGCTGATTCAAGGACTGGAGAAATGCACATTAACAAGGGTTGTGGGACAGAGACCCCTAAATGTGCAAGTAACTCTTTCAGTGCAGATTTAAGAGAGAAGCTTGAGACATTGAAAAGCCTTTGTCCTGGGCTTAGAGGATAGGGTAACAAGGAAATACCATTTTAATTTAGTTATATATTTACTTCTGTTTCGTTGTGCTTAAATCCTTGTCCCTATTTATTGCCTTCAGCTTCTCCGTGACCTGTCATTAGCTGTCTTTTTTTTCTTTCTGAGATCAAGTCTTAATGGTATTGTAATGAGAGATCTTTGGGAGATAAATGGCTTTGTTTGGAAGAGTTGTGCCTTTATTTCCTATCGCAACAAATATGATCTGACAGTAAACATCTGTTTTCCATTGACTGCTATAAAAATTTGCATTATATAACCTCATTGTCTGGGGAAGACAAATGTCCGTCTCTGAATACGTTCTTCAGCTCTTTATTATTAATAACAACACAACGCTCTCTTGTGTGATAGCTCTTCACTATTCCATTGTTTTGATTTGGGCTTGTTTTATTTTTATATTCCATAGCAAAAAGGAGAAACACTGCCCAAAGATGTTTGCTTTCCTATATCCAATTATTTCACTTTTCTTTCTGCAGCTCCGAACAAATCCTCAAAGTCTTGTTTGAGATGGCGAGGGAGGTATTTAATGAACAGAAATGAATATTTTATGATAGGAGTAATGTGCACTCTCTTGCTAAAGTAGGGGTAGCAATAAACTGACATCCATGGGAAACCAAAACTAGGAGTGATGAAAGAAAGAGCAAGAGAAAAAGCACCTTAAATCTGTCCTCTTGATTTGTAGAAAGATTATTCTGAAATCACAGCGTCAATAGCATTCATTAACTTGCATACATCACTAATCACTGGCATTTAAATTAGAATTGCTCTAGGTCAGGAGTCTCCAACTATGGCAACTTTAAGCCCGGTGGACTTCAAGTCCCAGAATTCTGGGAGTTGAAGTCTGCCGGGATTAAAGTTGCCAAGGTTGGAGACCCCTGCTCTAGGTGACTTATCTGTAGACAGTTGTGTTGTCTACTACATATTCACATTANTCATGATGACAGTGGTGAGGCCCTGCCTCCCCTGACTGCACGTCACTGGTTTCCCCATTGTCTTTCCTTGTCAGAAGGTCGCAAAAGGGGATCATATGACCCCGGGACACTGCAACTGTTATAAATGTGAGTCAGTTCTCAAGCATCCAAATGTAAATCACATGACCATGGGGATGCTGCAACAGTCGTAAGTGGGAATAATAGTAATAAGTCATTTTTTCAGCACCGTTGTAAATTTGAATGATCAGTAAGCGAACGATTGTAAGTCGAGGACTACCTGTACAGGTTTTCCGTTACTTCAGCCAACAAGGGCTTTTGTGTAGCTATCCTTTATACTGCTCTTGTTTGCAGGTAGAGAGAACATCATTTTGGTTAAGGCACCAGGCTAAAAAACAGGAGACTCTTGAGTTCTAGTTCTATCTTAGCCATGAACGTTGGGTGGGTGACTGTGGGCAACTCACTCTCTCTCACGCAACTTATCTCACAGGATTGTTATTGTAGGGAAAATAAAAGGAAGGTGTGTTGCATATGTTTGCTGCCTCGAGGTATCTGTGAAAACAATAAAGGCAGGATAAAAATAGATAGATAAATAAATTTGACCATTCCATTTTACATATTAGGGGTGACAGGATAGAAGTGTTCCAATATCTTAGGGTAGAAGAGGGAGTCAAGCTATTCTCCGAAGCAGGACAAGGAGCAATGGATGGAAACTCATCAAGGAGAGAATCTAGAACTAAGAAGAACTTTCCTGATACTTAGAACAATTAATCAGTGGGACAGCTTGTCTCCAGAAGTTGTGAATGCTCCAACACTGGTGCATTAAAAAGAGATTGGACAGATATTTGTTTGAAATGGTATAGGATTTCCTGCCTGAGCGGAGGGGTTGGACTAGAAGACCTCCAAGTCTCCTCTCCTCTCCTTACACACATAGCAATAGCAGTTAAGACTTATATACCGCTTCATAGGGCTTTCAGCCCTCTCTAAGCGGTTTACAGAGTCAGCATATTGCCCCCAACAACAATNTCTTCCTTTTCACATCCAGAGAAATATTCTGCCTTTTCAATATTTCCTAGGATATTTCATTTTTCTGGGAGAGGGCTGGGTGATAACTTCCTACCCCATATAGAAGTTACTTGCAGCACGCCAAACATGTGGAATGACAATTAGGAATGGATAGCTTTTGTCGTCATTTCAGTGACACATATAAAAGTGTTGACTTAAAGATAGCAACAGTAGCTACCTGTCTTTATTGTAAAATAGTAAGCACTTAAAGAAAACAACAACGCTTCGTCCAGAAACTGAATCTAGCCTTGCCAATATTTCATAATGTTTCTAAAAAGAAATCTATCTTCAAATTACAGTTGCTCCGTACGCCTCTGTTGTATTGAGTAAAAGCAGAAATAGTAGATACACTGCAAAACTAATGCTGCTGTGGAAAAATCACGATAATTTATAATGCAACTCTGATGGATGCTGAAATTGAAAGATGGAAATCTTACAGAAATCTCCCTCCCATTGGTTGCCAGGTAGATATCATTCAGCACATTTTGCTGCCTGAAGTATAACAAATAGTATTTCACTACCAAAGTCAGGTTTTGAATATTTAACAGGGACAACCAGGGAAAATGTCTTTATGGTGCTTAAGCCAAATGTTGTTGCATTGCCTGACTTGTTTTGAATTTGTGTTTCCTTTTTCAAGAGTTCTGTAGTCCAAAGGAAACATAAAATAACATTTGTGAAAACAAAATATTTGACCTGAAGTCATTAGGTAACAATTGTTGCCATCACAAAAGGAAACTGAAGGCAATGAAACAACTACTTCCTAATTAGAATGAATATAACCAACTTAATATAGTATTTCCCTGAACAAAAGGTCATTTTAAACTGGGGAAAAAAACTGTTGTTTTTTTTCAGATGTGTGTTGTGAGTTTTGCCCCAAATTGGTAGTACAGGCTGGCCGGCGCAGAAGACCAGCTCTTCCAGTTTCCAGCACTGCCGCTGGAATCCGGCAATCCTCAACTTAGAACCACAATTGAGCCCAAACTTTATGTTGCTAAGTGAGAAATTTGTTAAGTGAGTTTTGCTCCATTTTACCACTTTCCTTGCTACATTTCTTAAGTGAATCACTGCAGTTGTTAAATTAGTAACACGGTGAATCTGGTTTCCCCCAGTGACGTGCGGTGAGGTTTATGGCTGGTGAGGCACTGACACAGTGGTGGGTTTCAAATTTTTTTAGACTTGTGGACTTCAGCTCCCAGAATTNGGTCCACTGGTGGAACCTCTTCTAACCGGTTCAGTAGATTTGACGAACCGGTTCTACCGAACTGGTGCGAACTGGTAGGAACCCACCTCTGGTGGGAAGGTAACAGCATTCTGTGCACTTTTGGCATTTAGTCATGCTGGCCACATGACCACGGAGACATCTTCAGACAGTGCTGGCTCTTTGGCTGTGAAACGGAGATGAGCACCACCCCCTGGAGTCGGGAGCATCTAGCACATATGTGCAAGGGGAACCTTTACCTTTTTATTCAAATAACCTAAGGAACCTGCAGAAGAAGAAAAACCAGGATGATAAATGATCTTGTTTACATATTGTGGTAAACAATAATTGGCTTCGTCATTATTTGTAGAAGACCCCAGATTGGCTTGGTTCACACATTGTACTAATCTCTAAAACCAAAGTTTATAAACCACAATAACTGAGTTCACAAAATACGCTAAGCTGAAAATGAGTGAATTCATCAGGATGCCGCCTGCCTTCTCCTCCAGCATCATCTCTTATAGAATGACAACTGCATATCTCTATCCTTTTTCTGATCAATTTTATATATGGAGGGGGGGGAGGAGAACAGGGCCACAGGTGCACATTCCATAAAAACATTTGGGGTGCATTTTTGGAAATAAAGTTGATGAAGGAGACTGGGACTTTGTAGCTCTCTGTTTGAAAATAATCTTTATTTTTTAAAAGGTAAAAAGCCAGATGGGACAAGGAGCATGGCAAGTATCAAGGGAGAATGTTAGCATAGCAACATATCACTTTGGAGAAAGCAGCCTTACAGCAACATCTGAATCCAATTATTATATTGATTGAAGTATGTAACAGTTGGCAACTATGGGCAATCAATTACTAAATACTAATACATAAAATGAAGAGATATGCCCAATCAATAGCATAACGCTTAATGGACATCTAAATTCCATGATGTAGATCCCGAATGGTAGTGGTGTCCATTATATTTTATGAAGAATTGCTACAAAGCTATCGCACAGCTGTTTGTATTTCAAGCACAAAGCTGCTGTTGCTGCTTTTCTAGCAAGTGTGCAAAATCATTTGAACATTCATTTAGGAACTTTTTCGTTTCTCTTCCTTGTATATGTTTCTTTGCCACTGTTGGAAGAAATGTCCTTCTGGGTTTAGCTCCAAGTGGGGAAAAAGACACTGGAGACATGGAGGCTGCTTGGAAAGATGTTTTTAATGGTGGACAGGACTACATGGCTTGAGTCCTGAACAGAAAAGGTGATCACATGCTTCAATGTTGGTGGAGAAGAAGAGAAGGGGCTTGCTCGGCTTTTTATAATCTGTTCTGTCCCACTTCTCTATTTCCTGTTCCTGTGTAAGAAATGTATTCTGATTGGTTGTCAGACTCCCATGTCTCCATGCAGGGGCAACTCTCTAGGCTGTGTTTTGAATCCAGGTTTGGTTGAGTTCTCAGATGCCATGTGGCCAGTTGGGTAAAGGGCCATTATCATGCTTTAATCCTACCTTTGTTGGCTCTTGTGCGA